CTCTAAAGAACAAATTACTAGGATGAGTATTCCAACAGTGTGACTAATGTTTGAAATTATTTTTTCTAAGAATTTTTCTATAATCTTCCAAGAGTTAGTGATGTTTGTAGTTACTAAAAATTAAGCTTTGGAAGTCCAAAAAACAAAACAAAAGATTGCCTTCTTTTTGGCGGGGGGAATGCAACTTTCTGGCCACAAGGGCATAGTGCAGTTCACTTTGAGTGTTGATGTAGTTCATAGTCTCCTTTTCTGTGAATGGTACTGTTAAATAAATCAGGTTTTCTAAACAGTCATTCTTAAAATTTCAGACTTACAAAGTTTAGTATTAGAATATTTATTTAAAGGTCCTAGGTATTAATTTTTTTCAGTGAACGCTTTAACTTAAAACAGGCATTTGGAATAGCTGCTGCAGTTGTAGTCCTGTGTGCGATTTTTTTTTTAAGTTGACATGTGCAGTCTAAACATTGTTTCATTAAAGTTGGATGTTTCCTGTGGCCAAGATGAGTTTATGAACCATGAAGAAAATGAGACAGAAATTGCCCCTAGTCAGACAGTACTACAGTGGTTGCTGTTGAGATTATTGTTGAACTATAATTAATAATTTGGATGGCAGTATTTATCTCTTTGTTGTAAACTCTTATAGCTGAATTGTTTAAGTATAATTTATAGAACTTCAGTGCAGTTAATTCTTCATGGAAAAACCTGAAACTTAAATTGCAGATGTAAAAGGTACTGTGCAACCATTGTAACTGTAAATAACTTTACTTAGCACCTTTTTTGTCAGTTAGAATAGTATATAATACAACTTGAGTGAGCGCTTTGGGAAGTATTACCAAATTCTAGTGTTTGCTTAGTACTGAACTGAGTCTTCAGTTCTGTCTTAGACATTTGCACTACAAGTAGCCTAATCCGTTCTTGTGTCCTTTTGTTACTGTGCTCCGTACCACTGGCAAGTGTTCTTAGTTTCCTTGCCACTTGCTACAGAAGGTCCTTTTATATGCCTATGGCTATTGCCAAGGCTACAAAAGAGAATAAAGCGCTACAAAAGAGAAAAGCTATATTTGTATGCAACACTGACTCTTTGACTGCTAATGTAGGTTTCTGCTTGCTGTGCCTTGTTATGGCTGCTTTTTTTGTGCTAATAAAGTATGTTTGGTGTTCTCCTTGTAAAAAAAATAAAAAATAAAAAAGTAAATTTCCTCAAGTATAAAATAAGTGAAAATACATGCTGATGACACATAATTTTCATAAGAATTATTAAATATTAGATGCAAGCATTAAATGATTATTCAACTAATTACCATATCATGCAAATGTGGCTCTCCAAATATGTGTCTCCCACTAGAAAGGTATTAGTGCTTATTAATGTTTTTCATGTTCTTTAGTATTTGTTTTGTATAGTTGGGAGTGCTAGTATTTGGTGCATATATATCTACGATTGTTATCTCTTCTTGTACTGTTTACTTTACAAGGATGTGGTGACCATCTTTGTCCCTCTTAATTGATTCTGGCTTGAAATCTACCTTGTCTGTAAATAAGATAGCTACCCTTGCATTTTTCTGTGTTCCTGTCACATGGAGGACTCTTTTCCATCCTTTTGCTTTCAGTTCTATGCATTTCTTTTTGAAAATACTTTTTTGTACAGGGGATCAAACTTGGTTCCTTGTGCGTATGAAGCAGGCAGTGGAACCACTGAGCTAAATCCCCAGCCCTTATGCAGTTCTTTTTGAACTAAGTGTGTTTCTTGTATACAGCATATTGTTGGATTTTGCTCTTTAATCCATTCTGCCAGTGTACGTCTTTTGATTGGTGAATGGAGGCCATTTATATTGATGGTTATAACTTATATGTATTGAGATATTCTTGCCATGTTGTTTTTACCTGGTGGACTCTTTTATATTTTTTTCTCCACCACCCTTTAATTTATTGCTTTGCCTGATGGATTTGCTCTGCTGGTCCTCATGGAGTTGTGACATTCATTGTCTGTTTCTAGGAAATTTTTAGAATATTTTGGAGTGTTGGTTTGGTGTTCATGAAGTTTCTCAAGTGTTCTTTGTTGTGGAAATATCTTATTTTCCTGTCAATTTTGAAAGATAATTTTTCAGGTCAGTCTAGTTTGGAGGTTGTTTTAGGGCTTGAAATACCTCGCTCCAGGCTCTCCTTGCCTTAAGGGTATTTGATGAAATTTCTGCTGTGATTCTGATGGGCTTTCCTTTGAATGATGTTTGCGTCTTTTCTCTAACTGCTTGTAGTATTTTGTTCTTCTGCTGGGTTTCCAGGATCTTAACTATTATATGTCTAGGTGTAGATTTTTTTTTTTTTAAATCATGGCTAGTTGGAACCCTATATGCCTCATTTATCTGTATATCAGATTTTTCCCCTTTGGGAACTTTTCTGTCATTAATTCTGTGAACAACTATTTATGAGATTTGTACTTTCTCCTGCTTTTTAATGGACTCCTATAAGTCTTTTTTTTATATATAATTCTTTGTGTCATCTAGGAGATGTTGGATCAATTTCTCCTGGTCCTTTACTAATTTTAAGAGATCTCTATTTTCCTTGTCACTGACTGCAATCCTGTCTTCTATATCTGATATTCTGTCTTCAGATTGGCTCATTCTGTTGTGAATGTTTTCAATAAGGTTTTTAATCTCATGGATTTCTGTATGAATCTGTTTCATGGATTCCATCTCTTTCCTATGTTGGGTGTTCATGGTTTCCATTTCTTTCTGATGCTGGAAGTTCATGGCTTCTATCATGGTCCTGAGCTCATATCTATCTATCTTACACACACACATATTGTACCAGTGATCAAACTCGGATCCTTGTGCTTGTCAGGCAGATGGTGACACCACCAAGATAAATCCCTGGCTCATCATCTATTTATTTCATCTGTTTCTGTTCTAGAACCTCTAATCATGTCTTTCCTTCTGCTCACCATCTCTGTAGTTATCTGGGAAATTATTTCTGTTTATAACTTTTCTAGAGCCTCATTGATCTGTTTTGTTACTTCCTATGCTATAGCTCAGGGTGTCCAGGTGGATGACTAACAGACTTTTCCACCTCATTTACCCCAGAATTTGCCTTTGGTTAGGTGAAAGTCTGTTTGTGCCTTGTTTAGGTGTCTTCTTTTGTCTATTTTTGTTGTTAGTGTTATTTTTGGTTATATTCCTGGGTTGATACTTCAATTTTGCTTATTTTAAGTATCTTTCTTACTTGTATTTAGAAACCTTATGGAATGACTGCTTTTAAGAAGCATCTTCCAGATATAGCTGCTCTTTAGGTTTTGAGTCTCTAATGAGTCTTAGGCAATGTTATTTTCAGCATACCAGGAAGGATAACTTATTAGATCAGTCACAACACCTTAGCCAAAGTGATACAATCAGCAACAACCATAGCATCAAGCACAACTTAGAAAGTGACAATTTGTAGTAGTTGTTAATTTATCACCTTTAGTCATGTGAATTAAATCAAAATCCAGTACCAACCCAAAATATGTTTACAGTGAACAAACTCTTCAATATAGCAACTTCACCATTCAGGATGGGGACTTAGAAGGAGTTGGGGAGGGAGGGATAAGGTAGATAGAAGACAAGGGATAACATAGATAGGGAAAAGTTAGAAATGAGGCCAAAGAAGACAGAAATATTACACAGTTTCTAGGAAACTTTTGAAGACAAAGAAAAAGACAGGACAAATAAACAAAGACAAGAACAGAAAACAGCAATAGGGAAGCAAGAAAATGTATTCACTTTGCTTTAAAACAACTATGGTGGTCTGGTGTGCCATTATTGCAGAGATTTTCTTCTTCTCCTTGCATCATAGAACCTCAGAGTGGCTCTATTTCTGTTGTTCACTCCAGTGGCTAGGGCAGTGGGGGGGCCATGCCTTATGGCTCAGCTCCTTGGCTCTGCCATGGAGGCCCAGGGGTAGTGCTGAAAAAGTTCAACTGGGGAAATGTAAAGTCCTTGGCAGTAGTGCCAAACTCTTTGTGTAAGACTTGAATTACAAGGCCATGCTAAATGACAAAGGGCCTAGGAGACGGTGCTCTAACCCCCTCCCATTGTAGCCATAGCCCCGACCTTTGTTCTAACCCTGACTTAGGACTGTAAGGCAATATTGTACTGTTTGAAGTCTGGATCATGATTAATGTGTAAATTAGTGGTTCTAGATATAGTGACCCCAAGTTAATTGTCAATCTGTTTGCTCATCTGGAATGTCTTGGTGACCTTTGAAACATCCTATAGATATCTGTTACTCATCAATATGTGACTGCTAAGTATGTGGCTGCTGACCACCAGCTCAAACCAGCAGACCTTTGTCCCCTGCCTGCAAGCCTAAAATGTTAATCCCCCTTTTTTAGCCCCCATAAAAAGGACCTCAGCCCCTGAGCTGGCGCCTGTTTGAGCCAGCTACTTTGTTCTGAGAGTGAAGTCTGGCCAGACTAATAAAGGTCTGTTTACCAGCCAGCCTGGTGTGTTCTTTCCTAGGTTTCTCATTCCTCCATCAAGCTCCCGGAGCGTCGCTGAGCTGTAGGTCCCAGCATCGTGGAGGTCCTTTTGGCTGTTCATGGCTTTCGGAAGTAAGGCCCTGGGTCTTGCCTCTGGAGCCATCATTGGGCTATAGGACTCAGCATTGGGAGGCTTTTTGGCTGTTCATGCTCCGTGGAGTGGAAGTGAGACTTTGAGTCTTACATTAAGGGGTTCCCCAGTAGCTGAACTTTCTCCTCCATCCAGGAAAGGTCACAGTGAGTGTGTATCCAGATTATGACCCATTAGCAGCACGACAGCTCAAGCAGTGCAAT